GTTTGGATTGCTTGTTTCTGAAAACTGATTTAAAAGTCGCATGCAGACGGCAATTCGGCACTCAGAAGTCAAAACTGAATTCTGTACAGGGAAACATACTTATGATTTATTAGATTTAACTTTCAAACTTAACTTTCAGGTTCTGCTGAATAGATTTTGGGGTCTGCCCCGGGACCCTGAGAATACTTTTGAATTGTCAAACAACAAGTGGCCCTTGAGCGCCACTGTCAGTTAGGGTCGACTATCTATATATATTTTTTTAAATTTTGAAACCAGTCGCTTGATTTCAATGAAGCCGATGTTTACCTTGTCTTAGTGATCAATCTTTTTATCAACCGTAAAAAAGGGGAAAAAAATGCCGCCCCAGACCTATACTACACAACCAAATTAAACATTTTTACTATTCCTTTGCTGCATATGACCGTTTATGTACATCATGTTACTTTCCGTAGAGCAGGCCTCAAGATGCACGTGCAACGAGTATTGTCGTATTGTCGTATTGTCGTATTGCCGAGCACTTTTACTCGCTCAATTCTATTTCAGTCTCTTGTCCCACTACACGTATTTTTTTTTTCTGTGATTGGTGCCGCTGTTATTTCGTGTTGTGCCACTAGACTTCAGCACCTCTTGTTTTTCTTCATAATTTCTTATAATTTGGAAATCGTTGTCGTTTTTTCTCTTTTTACTGAAAAATCATGACAGTACATCTCTTTCGGGCACCGCCTTCTTAGAGTTTCAATGCATTGCGAAACCATGTAGAAACCAAGCAAACCAAGATGGAGTTGTTTACGACGAGTTCTTGGTTAACGAAAAAAGAATGAAATGAACTCAAAATGAACACTGACGAAACGGTTACACTTAGGGAAAAGACTTCGCTCATATTTATTAATTTTTTTTCAATTTTTGTTTCAATTTTTTTAACGAATAAAATTGTTCAAGACTGAATTAAATAAATATATTTAGAAAGCCGTGCCGAAATTAAATTGATTGTCATTTTCTTTTGTAGCGAGAGCATGACCTTCGTCTTTCGGCACTCGAGTTATATCGCACGTTAAGCGTGAGACCTGGCACACTAGCTGGGAGGCTTATAGAATATGCCATAAAATATGCACATATCCGTGACATTGGTGACTCGCTTAGCGTGTCGTGTCATTGCACGCGTTCTTGTACCTTATTCCCTGTTTTCCCGTGAAGGGTCTCAGATATTCCCTTTCGATGGAAAGCAGTTTTTATTTTTGATTGTGAACTTTACCCTCTGCATGCGACGCTTTAATCAGTTTTTACAAAAGTAGGCGATTTAACTCAACGTAATACGAGTATTCTAGCCTGAAATGAGGAGAGAATATCAATCAGTTTTTTCCAACTATCTCTTCAAGTGGGGTGAAATTGTTCCCTTTCCCCTTTTTTCTTTTTTTAGCAAAGGCTATGTAGCTTTCAAAATTTGTGTAATAGAATAACAGAACTGATAAATATTTCGTCAAAACAGTTTTAAAAAGCCCAATGCCATTCCACACTAATTTTAGTATTCTAGTCAACATTCTCGGTTGATCTAAGCAGAAATATTATTCATTGTATATTAAATCGGATTACAGAAAAATCATCTGTTTTTTTCAACTATTTCTTCAAATGACATGAAATCGTTGATTGTCTCTTTAATATAGAAATGGTTTTGTGGTCAAGCCCATTCAAACGCACTTGTTCAGATCAAATCACATTTAAGGAGTTATCTTTTAACTTTGGCATTGGAGTTACTTCAGTAAGTAGGAGACAATGTAAAGCTAGTTCAACAAGGATGAAGACTGGTGAAAAGCCCTCTTTACATCTAAAACATTCAGTCTACTTGGTCAGTGCTGTAGAGGTCGGCTGAACGGCCCTGATGAAGGAGGGGGGATTGTTTCGCCCGATCCCGAAATAAAGCAAGGAATATTGCTGCCGATACTTTATGTCCACTCCCTTAGGTGCTCTCATGCAGCGAAAAAGATAAAGGCAACGCTCGTACTTGTGGCACTGCTTTCCCTTGATACCACAAATTCGTGCCCCGTATTAGCGGGGTGCCGGCCAGAGATCACTTCGATATGTACTCATGTAACATATTTTTCGCTAACCAGTTGCAGTGTACATTTTGAATTCGCATATAACCCATAATCCAGGGTGTTTCACTAAATATGCAAAGAGTTATGAGCAGTCTTAACTCTTTGTAGCGACCTTGTTTACATTTAATTTCAGTTCCTAACCGTTGCTTTTTTTGCTTAAACGAACCAAAGGTAAAAAAAGGAAGTAGAAGTGTAGCGTCTATTTGGCTTCCTCAGTAGAGATGTAAGTCAGTTGCTGCTATTAGGGATTTCCTTTAATGTAAATCACTCTGTAGGTTCTGAGTTGTTTATTTTTGTGCTAAAGTCACAGTTTCTCAAAATTCATGTCTCAATTTTATAATGAGGATAAGCAATTTACTCGCTTAATGTCCATTAACTAGGGAGAAGGACAATTACACAGTTGATCATCAATGCTTTTTTTTTTATTTTTCAACTGACCTGATTCATATTACAATAACGTCAGAGGCAATGAGGTAATAAAAATAGTTCCATCCCAGTTACAAAGGGTTAATATGAGCCACAGCAGTTTCTTCCAGCCGTACCTTTTTGTCTTCAATGTCGGTCCTCGTAATGCGATGTTCTACGACGTGGTTCTGAGGCAGCGTGACCGGCTCCTTTGTTCTGTGCAAAAGGGAAAAAATACTTATAAAAATACAAAATATGTGTTTTACTCGCCTATCAGCGTTGGGTTTTTTACTTGTTTTATCAACATCAATGCTTTTAAACTTTGCTTTTACAGTGAAGTTCAGCAATTACTCGTATTAATAATGATTGTTTTCCCTGAACATCTTTTACTAAGAAATAGAGGGAAGGGAACGTTCTAAGTTTTAAAGGATATTATAATAGATAACTTTTAGTATCTTGTGGAGAATCTTATTCGATCCCAAACATTTTAACGACAAGGGAAATTAGTGTTAAGCCGTTTTCTCAAGGCCTTTTTCATCTTAGCGTTCTCTTCGGTTGCTTTTATTCCCTTAAAGCACAGAAGATGAGATCCAGATGCTCAAAAGGAATGATATTCAACCGTTGGAGCTGTTACAGAGACAGAATACTTACTTGTAAGAAGTGTGAAACTGGCAACTGTGATAACCGCCCCCTTTGAGTTGTAGGAACATAGTTACATCACCTCTCAATATGTTGTTGGAGACGGTCATTTTTTCAAAGGAAGGGTCCCAGCCAATTGTCCTCTTTTGCATTATGGGTCCGTTAGCGGGAAAGTTAACGCCATGAAACATGGATGTGTGCTTAAACCAATTTCCCTCAAGACTGTATGATTAAGAAAATTTGAGATATCAATTAAAATATGTAAAATTACTCTTGTAACTGTGTCACATACCTAGAGTGCAATGTACTCTGTGGAATTATGCTACGACGTTTTTCAAACTTAATCCATTTTCTCACAGATGCCTATTTCAAAATTTAGCATATTCTTCATATTCTCTGGTCACTATGCTTTTTGTGTACATTTGTTCCCCTGTAGCTAGACAAGAAGCGTTCTCGGGAGAATCACAACTAAGTTACACTTTCAAAAAGGGCGCTCCCTTCTCCGTGTAAAAAATGACCTTGAAGATTAATTTTAGAGAGTATTGTGTCAATCCGAGACTAATCATCACTTTTATACCAAATGTGTCCACTGGCTGTAGCAACTCCTCCATCCTCAAATGTAAATGTCCTTTCAAATGACATTCCAGCAGGAAATGCTTGTTTGAAATAGTCATGCATGTCGGCAGGATACTTAGTAAAGCATCTGTTTCCATATTTGAAGACTGACGAAAGTATGTCAAAGGAAAATGGAAGGGGTCCTCCCTTGGTTACCCAAAAAGTGGACTTCTGTACTCCTCTAAAATAAGACAAGATAAGAGTGTTGGAAATTATTTTCAGAAGCAGCTCATGTATGACCTAAAAAAGTATCGCAAATAAATTTAGCTGTGACTGAGCTTTTATACGATAATTTGAAGTAGCTTTACACTTCGCTTGGTTCTGGAAGCAGATGAAGAATCGGTCGATATCATAGACGGTTGGTAATTTGTATCGCAAATGAATTTAGCTGTGACTGAGCACTGCAGTAGCCTTTACACCTCGCCTGATCATGGAAGCAGATGAAAAAGGTGCTGTCATACACTGAAGGTAATTTGCACATAAATCTTTGATCTTGTTCACTTTGCTTTTCAAAAAAGTCTTTATTAATTTTTTATAATTTCCCAAAATCATCGATACTTTGATATCAGGCCCTTATGTGACGACTGCAGTGTGATCTTATCAACTCTGTGTTTAAAAATAAATCGTAATACATGATAATGAAATAATTCATCGTGTTCTGTCTTTTAAGAGACACTTACTCGTAAGGCTTTCCTTCTCCTTCACCTTCGATCTCAAAGTAATGTCCATTGACATTACCCTTCATTTCAAATTTCAAATTCATGTCGTTTAGAATGACCTGAATAAGTAAAAAGGAAACAAACGATTATTTTCTACTGACATTGATAATTCAAAGACCCAAGCTGGTTTTAATTAGCTGCAATCGTGTGCGCATTACAATAGAAATTATTGATTTCTACTCTTACGGTACAGCTTACGCCATATCAAATTAACTCAGTGCGCCTGATTAATGGAAAATGGGCATGCCAGCGCACTAATTTACTTCTTGTTTCTCCAATTACATTTTCTGTGCTTTTTTTGTTATTTTCAAGATATTACTGTAAACTTGCGGATGCTCCAGGTACATCATTTTGTACCAAATTGTATTAATAATTAATAATAATTTACCAATTTATATAGCGCGTATTTACATGAGCTGATCAATAGCGCTTTACAATCATATGTTTAAAAGAAAACGAAAATACATTACCGTGAGAATAAAATAAACTAAGTTACAAACTATAAAAAATACTTCTTAAAAAGATAGGTTTTAAGTCGAGATTTAAAACTGTTAAGTGATGTTGCTTGACGAAGCTCCACAGGTAGCTCATTCCAGAGTTTCGGAGCTGCTGCTGAGAATGATCTTGCTCCCAATGTTGTAAGCATCTTTCCCTTGGGATGGTCCAATAAGAGCCTATTTAAGAGCTACCAGTAGACCTAAGATTATATAATGAATTCGATTTTATACTAATAAGATCGCTAAGATAAGTTGGCGCTAGGCCATAAATACATTTGAAAGTCAAAAGTAAAATCTTATAGTCAATACGCAAAGAAACTGGCAGCCAGTGCAGCTCATAAAGCGCCGGTGTAATGTGAGAAAACTTTCCAAAGCCAAGAATAAGTCTTGCTGCTGCATTTTGTACACGCTGTAATTTAGCGATCTGCACATTTGGTAAGCCAAACAATAAACCATTACAATAGTCAAGACGGCTGGTTATAAAAGCATGAGCCAAAGTAATTAAAGAATCTCTCGACAGGTATTTCTTAATACGTCTCAAGTTATGTAAATGATAAAATGCCGCATTACAAGCCTTGTTTATATGATCAGTCATGCTTAAGTTGCTGTCAAACCAGGATCCAAGATTTCTAACACATGGGCTTGGACTGATACGATTATTACCCACAGTTATGGAACACGAATCTAATTTATCAAGCTGTTGTCGTGTGCCGACTAACAAAAACTCCGTTTTATCATCATTGATCATCAACCGATCTTGAATGATCCATTTCCTCACCGCGTCAATGCACTTTTCCATAGCTTGTATAGCATCAGCTTGAGCAGTGTTGCCGAGTGGTTTAAAACTCAGATACAGCTGCGTATCATCAGCGAAATAGTGAGCTTCAGGAAGATAATGTTCCACGATCTTAAACAGCTTGGACGCATATATTATGAATAGCAAAGGCCCTAAACATGCGCCTTGGGGTACCCCACAGTTCAAGTCAAAAGGACGAGAAAGAACTCCATGTACAGAAACGCGCTGACTCCTATCAGACAAGTACGATCTAAACCAATTCAGAGCAGTCCCACGTATGCCAACCTCGTCAGATAGCCTCTCTAATAGTATTCGATGATCAACAGTGTCAAAGGCAGCACTGAGATCCAATAAAATTAACATAGTGACATGTTGAGAGTTCATCTTTAACAAAATATCGTTCATCACCTTGATAAGTGCAGTTTCAGTGCTATGGAATTGCCTGTAAGAAGATTGAAGCGTAGGAAAAATAGCATTTGAAACCATGTGATCGTTAACTTGATTAAAAACGACTTTTTCAGTCAACTTGGATACGTATTGTAAGTTACTAACTGGTCTGTAATTTTTGTACAGCAAATCCAATCCAGGTTTCTTAAAGATAGGATTAATAAGCCCACATTTCCAATCAATCCCAAATTCTCCAGAATTAAGAGACAGGTTGATCATTTTAGTAATGACTGGTAATAGCACATCAGTACAGCTGATTACCATAGATGTTGACATCGGATCAAACATACAGCTTTTCTTCGGAGAGCAGCCAATCAACTTACTAACAGCACTTTCAGTTAAAGGGATAAAGCTGTCCAGTGTTCTAGTTGGTAGCGTTTTCACATAGTCAAAATGAGAATCATGCAAACAATCGGCTAGTCTGTCCAGTTTGACATGGATGGCGTCAATCTTTTCAACAAAGAAAATTCAGTGTTTTTAAATATGCCACGCGCAGCTAGTTTATTAATAGAATTTATATTTTAATAATGTGATCACATTCAATAATAGCACCTTCATCAACATAATTTTCAATTTTAAATTTTGATGGATCAACAAAACTTAACTTACCCGCTGGCAATGGTTGAATCATGGCCCAGCCATAAAGATTATTTACAACAAGATAAATAATACAAGAAGAATCTTCATTTTCATTAAAATTAGCGAAATATTTATTATTTGCTTTTGCAAATCGATGTGTAATATTGCCTATGTCACCCCGCATCATTTGTTGACTGGTTTTTTCTATTCCAATATTACCAATGAACTCGAGTTTAACATTCATCTTTTAAACATTGCATCAAATTAAAGGCAAAATTAGGCGCGGAAAGATAATGTGGTGAATCTAAACCATAGTATTTTAGGAACGTACTCCTGAAACTATTGGAAACATCTGTAAGTGAGCCAATGTCAGTTAACAAATATATATCATGATAATCACCAATAATTTTACATTCATATTTTTTGTAAACATGAAATGGAAATATAAATTGAGTAAATGCCCTTGTGTGTTAAAAGTGCATCTGGAGTGTATTTATATTGTGACAGTTCAAGATCTTTAACTAAATTTTCAGGAGAACTTGCATATTCTTGTATTTTGTTCAGCAGTAAACAATTTATCTTGGTAAAGTGTAAGTTTTTTCTTTGAATGTTTTATTTTTCTAAAAGTTACGAGGTTTTCCACAAAATTTTTGTTCTTGGTAAAGGTACTAGTTTAAAGTTCGACATAATTTCTTCTCCTGTGAGCACATTTTTCTATGTTCTTGGAGAAGGAACTGGTTTTTCATTAAACTCGTTTGACATGGTTTTAAGAATTTTGTTTTCTTTAATTTATTTTTATTAACAAGTGCATTATGGTCAGTATTATGGTACTGGTACTATATATTATATGAATATATTTTTTAAAATATTTACTGGGCTAACGTATTTCGGTGTATCATTAAAACACTCAGTGATGAATGGGAAATGGGTATGTATAAGTATTATGTAATGTATTTCTGAATAAATTTGGGTTGCGCGTGACATTAAAAATTTTGTATGAAAAACAGCTTACTAAAACGTAATTGGGTTAATAATACTGAATACATTTTGTTTTAAAATAATATAACCAGAGCAAGCGCAAGGTTATAGAAATATTTCAAAATAAAGTAAAAATACACAAAAATAACCAAAAAAAGTAGTTGAGGACTTTTGGAATACAAGAAGTAAATTAATGCGCCGGCACGCCCATTTCCCGTCCATCACGAGCCTCACACCATTTGGCTCTCTACATAATTGTCGTAGTCTTTGGCCTTCTTTTAAAATATTTCCTTGTGCTGCAATATTTCATCGCTTTAGGAATCAAACACTACACTGAATTTAGCTTCGAGGTGAGTTGGAAGCTTGAGACATGCAGAATGAATTAAAAGCCATAACTGACAAATAAATGCAGGTTAATTAGCTTGTATAACGACACACTACGACGGCATTTTTCTGTCTATGTGGGGCATGATGTGTTTTAGTAACTATTTGAACTGGCGAAATATAGCGAAAAAGTTCAGCCTATCATTTATCTTTGCCTAGCGAAATTTTTTCCGGCGTGGTTTCATTAATGAGATACATAAGTATAAAGAGGGAACTACACAAAATTGACTGGAAGTTAACAGCAAAGACGGAGAAGCTCATGTAGGAGGTCAAAAGAATATTGCCTGAATCAACCAAAATACTTCACCTCCTCCCCTTAGTCGATAGATAATGGCCAATATCGAAGATGAAGTTTTGTGCCCCCAACATTTGCCAATTCTACTTGAGAACAGGCTGGAACAATCAGAAAGGGCTCACTTGTGAGGGTTATTGTTTTACTTGATTTTCATCCGCAGGTCAAATAAATTCATTCATTAAGATGAAGCTCAGAATTCTCCACGGGAAAGAAAACTCTCAAAAGTTTCCATTGCTCCAAACGTGTGGATTCTTAGTTGGTTAGTAGCATACAGCGCCCAACTAGTATCTGAGTGGCACAGGTTTGAATCCCGTCGAAGTCTAATATTTTCAAGATTCTTTTCTGCAATTGCTAAAGTTACAGCTCACTTGCTAGGATCGTTTCTTTATCTGATTTTAGTGTACGGTAATAACGTTTAAAGATGTTTGATGATGTTTTGGGTGTGGCATACCAATTTGCGTCCTGATGATTCTACCCTATCTTTGTTTCCG